AATCTCCTCAAATAAGTCAATTGGGTCTTATAATTAGGACCGGAGGAGTATTTTTTTTCAAGATAATCTTTCTAATAATGATAGTTCTAGCCAATATATTTAATTAGTAAAAATATTTTAGGAATGACAATACTTATTTATTATAAATAACTAACTTAACTTACTTTCTTAATCTCCTCAAATAAATCAACTGGGTCTTATAATTAGGACCGGAGGTAGTATTATTCAAGTGTATTATCTTTTTGGGATAATTAATCCGCAAGTCCTTATAGTTTCAACGAATTTTAAATTAGGTCCTTATATTTTTTTTTCTTTTTATCAGATCCTTATACTTTCACTTGTTTTTAATTAGGTCCTTGTATTTATTTTTCTTTTTATCAAATCCTTATAAGTTCATTTTATTTTTAATTAAGTCCCTGAATTTTTTATTCTTTATTTTATGAATTCTAATAGTATTATTATATAAACATAAAATAGTATATATTATTTAATATTAGTTTATAAACAATAATATTCTAAAGATATTGAATTATTATAATGATTTTTAAATTTTTCAGCAAAAAAATTAATTGTTCTAAAAAATTTTCCTGAATTAATTAATTCTATTATTTTTTATTACATAATTATTAATTTAATTTACTTATTAATATTTTATATTTCATTATTAATCTATTTAATTAAGCTTATATTTAATTAATAAATAAAAATTAAAACTACATGGACCTGATTAAAAATTTAATGAAATTATAAGGACTTAATTAAAAGAAAAATAAATACAAGGGCCTAATTAAAAAAAGGTAAAAGTATAAGGATCTAATAAAAAGAAAAAAAACTATAAGGACCTGATTTAAAATTAGTTGAAACTATAAGGACTTACGGATTAATTAACCCTATCTTTTTCTCCACTCTAACCGTTCTTAGAATTAAGAATAACCTCTCCTCTCTATTTAACGCCACTTTGGCTTCTTCTCCTACACCCGCCAGAAATAAAAGAAAACAAATTCATTAAAAAAAAAAAAAGTTTCACCTTTAATTTCATGATCTTTCTAAATTCTCTGGGGGGCTGGGGCTGGGCAAATTCCTCAGAAGTTATTCTGAATTTCCGCGTTTCCCCCCTTAACGTTCCTTCACATTGTAATCGCCATTAATTTATGCCTATCATGCATTTCCATCGCTCTCAAATGCAGTTGTTATTGTTTCGTCTCAAATTCTTCTTACAGATGTCTTGTTAAGCCATGAAATCTCATAGCCATGCCTTGTTTTCTCTTATGATCGTATTTTTTATCGTAATTTCTGGTTCAAAAGCTTCATCAGGCTTAGATTCTTTTGTCATTTCTTGTGGTCTTCCCTCTAATGTGGGCGTAGATAGTCACGGACGACGGTGGCGATCGGATTATAGATTCTTAACCTCTTCCACTAACACGATAAACTCAACAGCACAATACCAAGACCCTTCTCTTCCTTCCCAAATTCCTTACATGTCCGCGAGAATCTTCACTTCCCCAACCACATACAAATTTCCCGTCTCTTCTGAAACTCGCCACTGGCTTCGACTCCATTTTTACCCTTCAGAATATAGCGGCCTTGATCCCTCCGATGCTTATTTTGCAGTTCATGCAAATGATCTTATTCTCCTCCACAATTTCAGTTCCTTCATTACAGCACAAGCTTCAACACAAGCCTATTTCATCAAAGAATACTCTCTTCTACCAATTCAATCCGGAGAACTCAGCATTACCTTCTCACCTTCTTTGAGGCACCATGGATCATATGCTTTTGTTAATGGGATTGAGATAGTCTCTATGCCTGAGATGTTCAAGCCTGCCAAGTTGGTCTCCACTGACCGTTTTATTGATGTTGGGAGCAGGTCGTTGCAGACTATGTTTCGTTTGAATGTTGGAGGACAATTCATAGAACCCAACAAGGACTCTGGTCATTTGAGCAGGACATGGTACAACGATAGCCCCTATCTACTTGGAGTAAGAAGTGGGGTCACTTCTGGCGCTGATGAGAATGTGACGATTCAATACCCTTCTGATATGCCTCGCTCCATTGCCCCTGTAGATGTCTACAGCTTTGCAAGAACCATGGATCCTAATGCTAGTGCCAACCAGAACCACAATCTCACTTGGGTGTTTCTGGTTGATCCAATTTTTACCTACGTTGTGAGGCTTCATTTCTGTGAGTTGGAATTAGACAAGATTAACCAAAGGGTGTTTGATATTTATGTTAATAATCAAACAGCCCAAGAAACTGCCGATGTCTTAGCATGGACAGGTTCCAGAGGGGTTCCTGCTTATAAAGACTACGCAATTTCCATCGCTGATGGGCGTGGTGATGAAACATTATGGGTCACTTTACGCCCTTCTGTTTCAAAGCAACCAGAATACTATGATGCTATTCTTAATGGATTGGAGATTTTTAAGGTTAGTTCAGATGATAGAAATTTAGCTGGGCGCAATCCTACACCATCAGATATGCTTCTTAAAGATGAAGCTAGGAAGGAATTTAGCTCTTCAAAAATAAATCACGCTCCAATCATAGGAGGGGTTGCTGGAGGAGCTGTTGGGGCTGCTTTTGCTGTTGCTATGTGTTTTGTTGCCTATAGGAAGAGAAGACAAGATGATGGGAATGATTCTGTTACCAGGAGTTGGTTGCCTCTATATGGGCATTCGCAAACAACAGCTAGCAAATCAACTTTCTCGGGTTGTAGCAGTACTCTTTCATCATTGAGACAAGGGTTATGTAGACACTTTTCATTGCAAGAGATCAGGCATGCTACAAAGAACTTCAACAAATCACAGGTTATTGGTGTTGGTGGGTTTGGGAAAGTCTATAAAGGTGTCATAGATGGAGGGACCAATGTTGCTATAAAGAGATCAAACCCAACTTCTGAGCAAGGACTCTTGGAGTTTCAGACTGAAGTTGAATTGCTTTCAAAGCTAAGGCACAAACATTTAGTCTCTCTGATTGGGTTTTGTGAAGAAAATGGTGAGATGATCATAGTTTACGATTACATGGCCAATGGAACATTAAGAGAACACCTATACAGAAGCAATAAGCCAGCTTTACCATGGAAGCAAAGGCTCAAAATCTGCATAGGAGCTGCAAGAGGGCTTCACTACCTTCACACTGGTGCCCAGTTCATCATCATTCACAGGGATGTTAAAACCACAAATATACTGTTAGATGATAAATGGGTAGCAAAAGTATCCGACTTTGGGCTGTCCAAAACAGGTCCTGATCTGCACCAAACCCATGTGTCGACAATTGTGAAAGGTAGCTTTGGATACTTAGACCCTGAGTACTTCAAGAGGCAGCAACTCACAGAAAAATCCGATGTTTACTCTTTTGGGGTTGTTCTTTTCGAAGTGATTTGTGCGAGGCCTGCGCTAGATCCTAACTTGCCTAGAGAACAAGCAAGCCTGGCGGATTGGGCTTTAATGTGTCAAAGGGAGGGGAATTTGGAGAGCATCATTGATCCAAAACTTAGAGATGAAATCAGCCCTGTGTGTTTGAAGAAATTTGTGGAGACTGCTCTGAAATGTATAATTGATCAGGGGCCTGAAAGGCCTTCAATGGGTGATGTATTGTGGAACCTTGAATTTGCACTTCAATTGCAGGAGAATCCAGGTGGAGGGGAGCATGCAGCAGTAGAGAAGGCAAATAACGCTTATGCTATTCATAATGCTAATGGTATTTTGAACCCTGGAGAAGGGAGTACAAGTGCAACAGCAGATGAGATTGATGATTCCAGTACAGTTTTTTCGCAAATTTTTGAGCAGAAAGGAAGATAATATAAGGATTAGGAACCACTAGTGTCATTTTTGTAGAATGAAGTGATATTAGGAGCTTTTATTGGCCAAAAACGGAGCTTCTTGGTCCCTGCTCGTTGACCTTTTTTTAACCTTGAGTTAGAGGAAACAACAGACTCACCATGAAAAACTCAGGCCTATGCAGGGCAATATTTTCCATCAAGATGGTGCCTTTTGGGCGTGGGTTTAGGCTTTTATGAATGCGTTTAATTTTTTTCCCCTCATTTTCATTAGCATGTATATATTCTGACTCAAATCTATTCCTGTTCTGAACCAGCTTCCCAATGTAAACGTGTTCTTGGGGATTCAAATGATTTCTGACTTTCCCAGTCTGGATAAAGCAATAGAGGATGAATTTTCAGTTAACATTTCAAAAGAATTATTGCTATGCTTTTACATGCGTTACGAGATTATGATTTGAATACTTCATTGTATTATAAATTAAAAATGAACGAGACATTCTAAAATCTGATTGAACTGATAGTTAAAGGTTTATAAATCAATACATCTTTTCATTAAAAAATTAACTTTTGAAACTAAAGCTTAAGTTTAAAACAGTATAACTATATTGACATTTTCATTCAAACAAAAAAGCCAAAAGTCCAGTCCATGGTAAGAATTTAAAAGCTTGTATAATAAATATGTCTGCGTGACACAACAATCTTGAAATTAAAATTACTTGGGATTTACGTTGCCTGACATTTTGTGCTTGTTTACGAACCTTATGCAAATTGCTAGTTAAAAAAAGAAAAAGAAAAAGAAAAAGAACTTTATATAAATTTATCAAAAAAAATGAATTATTTTTATTTTTGTTAATTTATACTTTAATTATATAAACTTTTTTTGTAAAATATACACAAATATATTTAAGTTCATATATGATCAAAATATTGTAAAAATAATATTGATTTTATTGAAAATATAATTTATTGAAACACATGTTCACACTTTCTTTAAATTTCATAAATTTTTCAAACTTAAAAAATTAATATTATTCATATATATATAATTTACCTCATAATAAAAATAAAATTAAAAAGAACGGACGATGAGCTCTCTTTACTCTCAGATTGAAAAATGACAAAATTAGCTTTTTGCCTCGTCATCCCATCAGCTAGGGTTTAAGGTCCCCAGGGGGTTTTGGTTCAAAGATATTTAGTGCGAGTGAGCATACTTCACTGCTCCCTGCCCTCAGCCTGGAAGGGACTGTAAGGCTCTTCAACCGGATATCCCTCGTCAACCTTATCATCACTAATGGAAGATCCTAATCTTCCTAAGCCCCAACGATTACCTTTCCTTTGTCTCTGAGTTTTGTTGATAGAAATGGAAGACTTTGACGATGATTTTGGAGAACTTTACGCTGACGTTGAAGTTCACGGGACTTCAGCTGCTGATGACGTGCCCGATTTTGCTCGGTTGTACATAGAACCCGAAGAAGATGATGGTAGTGATGACACGAGGAGTCAAGATGCTAAGCTTAGGGAGGATTTTGTCTCGGACGCAATGAAAGTTGATGCTGAATGTGGCGAATCAACACATTCTGGCGGTCAGGTTTCGGAGTCCAATGATGATAAGGAGGCGAATGATGATTATATTGGAAGTGACAGTGAGGATGATTTGAATATATTGTTGAACGATGAGGATTGCCCGCGTTTCCCAGTGGGGGCTGTTTGGAACGAGGGAGTTGTGAGAGGGGTTGGTTATGATGAGGATGACAGTGATGAAGCTGTAGGCCTCACTGAGGGTAGCAATTTGGTTAGGAATGGGAAGTGCGGAGATCAACTGGCTGATGGAGCTGAACTGGTAAGTTCCAATGGACTGGAAGTTCATACTAGAAGTGGGCTGAAAGGAGGATACAAATCACAGTTTTTTCACCATAAGGTAGTAGCTCTTTATGGACTGTTTGTAATTATGAAATATCTAGTTTAATTTGTTTCCAGTTAGTACAAATGTAGAACAAGTCAGGTTTCATGAATTATATATAAAATTTTCTCCCTGTAAACAGCGTCTACTTGACTGGATTTAGATAACAAGCATGATACTCGAAGAAGATGTAATTCAAAAGATTATGGTGACTGACTATTGCCTAAACCAAGGACACACTTCACATCAGCGCTTCAACTAGTTAGAGCCAAATTTTTTTTTATCCATTATGAGAAACTCATAATTTGACAGAATGATACTAAAAACAAAATAACTGCCTACTTTTGAGGTCGTATGTCTCTGAATTATTCCAAGTGGGGAGCGATGATATTTTCCCCTTTGACCTTTTTCTGTTTTCGCAATTAAAGGTCTACAATATATTTTTGCTTCATCTTCCATCATATTGGGCCATGTGGCATTAGTTTTGCAACTGACACAGGAGATTAATGTTTAAAGGCGTTCAAGTTTTGTTCCTTATTTCTATTTTCATTTCTGTAGTATGTAAGGAGAGGTTCAGCGCTAGTGAACAATATGAAAGTCAACAAGTCTATGGGGCTGGTTTCCTATCCTTCTCCCTATACTAAAGGTGGGCGCAATGGTAATTCATCTATCCAGAAACAGTTATCAAGCTCCTCTCGCATTGCACATGTATGTGCTGCGGCAAATCCAATGGTGGTTCAATGTGGATACCAATCGTATCTTCCTTGGCACTGGTGAGTATATAAATATTGGTTCTATTTGTAGCCTATAATTACACGACATGATTCTTAGTTTTACAGTAATAATAAAATTTTTATGCTATGTTCAATTTGGCATTCAAATATCTTAACTTCCTCCATTCTATTTTTCCCCATAACAGGAGTATATTTGATGTAAACATTGATACATTAGAGGAGAAGCCATGGAGAACCCTTGGAGTTGACATAACAGATTATTTCAATTTTGGTTTTGATGAGAACTCTTGGAAGAACTACTGTGCATCACTGGTGAGTAAATTGTGAGTTAGGAATCTCAAGTTCTAACAATAATTTGATGCATGTTGTTTTTAGCAGACTGGAGTGCAGACCTTCATTTATCAAACTTTAATGCTTTCATGGATAAAATAGTGGCATTTTGTTTCGTTTGAAGGTTCTTGCAAAGCTTATTTAAAAGAATCATGCACTTAAATTGTATGCAGGAGCAACTTTGGGAAGCATCCACGCAAACTGGTAGTGCTGTTAATGGGTCTTCAAAAATTAATCTGGTGTGTGATGACATGTAGAAAAATGGTTAATAGATTTACAGGTTGTGTTGTGCTAAAGTTCACTTGACCTATCCTTACCTGCCAAAATATTTCAGGATGCCACAAGAGAGCAAACTGAACAATCTGTATCTGGGAGTTTACCTTCTCTTTCTATGGTATGTGAGCTGGTATGATGACATGTTATTAATTACATCCAACTTTGATGTTTTATACGTTGATTTAAGCTACCTTCTCAACTGTTGCATTCAAATACATGTTTGGGCTCTTTTACTGACTGACTTTTGGTAATTCAGCCAAAAGGCAGAGCAATTCAGGTTGAGGAGAGCATGTTTGAGCGCCAACCATCCATGGATATAAGACGTCCACGCTTTAGGGATTCTGATGTGGTGATACAGGTGTTTACCCTCAAGTTTCCCAAAATTCTTGTTCTTTAGCTGCCATTTATCTTTGGATTAACTTGGGTGGGTTTTGAGCAGATCAAGGTGCTCGAATCCTCTGATGGTTATTCTGGTTCTGGCAATAGCAATGTGCAAGAGTTATGTGAAGTGGGGGAATTTGGTGCAGGCAATAATGTAAATATCCCCAGTTCTCTCAGCAAACATGACAATGAGGTCTCTCAAGAGCTATTGGAAGATGTTAAAAATTCAGAAGACTCTTCCACTGAGGAAAGGTCTGCGGTTTGTCAGATACTGAATTCTAGTAATTCCTTTTTATTTAATATATGTTCTCGAGTATTCTAGGAATTACATCTGTTTTAGTTTGCCATATGCATTTTTGATGTTCAACGTACAGCTAAGTATGTGGAATTTGAGAATCAGGCAGCATCTTTTGAAACAGAGTTTGAAAATATAAGGCTGTAATTTTGAAAAAAATATTTATAATTTTTTTTGGTAGTCTTTCCCCCTTCCTTGCTTGTTCTTTTGTTGTTCTTAGCTTATGCTCTTTGAGAATTGGCATTTCGAAACATAGTTTTGACCATTATATAGGACTGGCCGGTTTTCTAATAGACTGATGAACCGGCTAAGTCCACTGGTTTTGTTGATGGACGATGTGGCTTACATTTAAAGCCCCCATGTAATCATCAACAAATATTGTGAAGGAGTGCCCAGGCATGTTTCAACCAAGATCCTTTGAATTGCAAATATACAGCCTCGCCACTAAGCTGACAAGAGTGTGGAACATTTATTTATTTTTTTGCTGTTATTTATAATATAGATGGCTGGTCACCTATGAGTATTCCTATAGAAAACCAAAAAAAGAAGTTTCTAAACAAAATTCCATATTTATATCGTTATTCTAGTATATATCAGTTAAGTTTTCTGGGCACTGACTAGAAATGTTTCCCGTTATAGCTCCTCAAGTTTTTCTGTTCCTTGCTAAGATTTTTCCCAATTAATGGAAAGGAATAATATCCAACGCTGGCACATTTAATTTTCATCCTAAACGTATAGTAATTCACATTATGTGGATAATCTTTGGTTGTATGCGATCATAGCTTTTCTCCTTTACTGGAAACAGAATTTATTATTTAAATTCTTAATTAAATGTTCTCTTTTGGAGCTAAGTAGTTGTTAAATAATTTTGCTAATAGGACCCTGAATTTTACAGAAAAGATCCAGTTTCTGGTGTTGGTAAAAAGGAACATCAGGATCAGATGGAGAAACGTTCAGAAGATTCTGCAGAAGCATCAGAAGATGAGTTAAAAGCAGAGGAAGCTTGCACCACTGATCAATGCTTGATTGAATCACAACTATCATTTGGTGACCACGACCTTAGCTTGACTTCCTATTCTGACAGTGGATCTGAAAACAGTGTACATGCTGACAATGAGATAAGGCACAACCAAAGAAGGCAGTTGGAAAAATCTGCTACAGACTTGAAAGAGTCTGCATCATCGGATCGTAAGATCCTAAAGAACAGCAATTTCAACAGAAAACCAGAAAATATGGATTATTATTCTAGAAAAAGTGGTCCAATTCGACGAGAATGGAGGCCTCTAAACCATAGCCATGACCCTCATTCTAAACTGCATAAATTCAGTAAGAAATATGACGCCTTCTCCAAGCCTGTGTCTGATGCTAGGGAGCTGTCTCTCCTTGATACCGAATTTCTTAATTATAGAAGGAAGAACGTACAACTGCAAGATTATGGCGGTCATAAGAGAAGAGATGTTTCATGTTGTGGGGAAACAGAACAATCCTACCACTATGATGATGAAAAGGTAGTTGATGATATGGCTCACGCTGTTCACGCTAGATCTTGGTATGGGGAAGATCATGACAGCTTTAGAGAGCATACAAACCGAGATTTCAGAAGGGACTGGGATGAGAGGGATTGTCTTTTTGAACATAGAACTGTGAAGAAGGATCATGATGACTGCGAACAAGGTTGGTATCATGCTGATGGAGGATACTCTGCTGGTGAATTGAGTCCTCTGTCTTATAGGGAATCCAGGAAATTTATGTCAAGACGTTGCTCTTCACCTGCCAGGGAGAGGAATATTCAGAGGAGAAGAAAGCATGAGAAGCCCTATTTGAGGGACAGAAACAGTGATAAAGATAATTGGTTTGATGAGTGCGGGCTTGACTTCATAGACAAAAGCTATACCACTTCTATTGAGAGAGAAGTGGAATTATTAGATAGTAAATATGAACATCAGTTTATAGAACGGAAAAGATCTGTCAGAAAGGCAAGACATCATTTCAGGCCTTCATTAGAATTAAACAGCTTATGGTCTGGGAGAATTGAGGATAAATGTCAGGAATACGCTTGTCATCAGACTTCAAATTTGCCCTATTGTAGACAATTTTATCCAGACTCTCAGAAGAACTATGTGTATCAAACAGGAGTAAGTGAATCTATTAGGGGTCATGAGAGACATAGACCCGCTAGGGATGGCAGAGGCAGTGACTGGTATCGTAAAAATATTGATGCTTCAAACGATGGAGATTTTATGATCTATCCTTCAAAAGGATGTGAGTTGGGGAGTAGAAGATACAGTTCCCCATCCGAAGTCCTGGACTGGATTGAGGATGATGTTATTTTAAGGCATCATGATACATTTCATGCTGATGAGGAAGCATTGTCCTATGAGGAAACATCTTGGCATAAAGGGACTCGTGCAAGATATGAATCTCTGCATGATGAGATGGAAATTGATGATATACAATTCCAGCATGATTACTTACATATGCCAAGGAGAGATAGTGACAATTATGTAAAAAGAGGCTATAAGATTACCTGTAGTGATAAGCGTGGGCAAGCAAAGTGCTGGAATACAATTGACTTTGTTAAAGGGGATGGAAAGGTAACCTTGGGGAACCTATGGTTAAGAACCTGTACTGCCATACTTGTACATATGAGCTACTCCACATCTGTTGGGCTATTTAATTTAATTCTTTTTGTTAACTTTATCCCATCCAACCAGGTAAGAAAAGAAGTCCTAAGAAATAAAGAACCCTGTACAAAGCAATATTTACCAGGAAAAAAAGAAAAAAGAGGGGGCATGAGCAAGAAACAACAATAACAATTTTCATTTGCAATGATATATTGCATTTGAAAGAGAAGATGAAGAGTCGAAGGTGGCAGTTGTACTTTGACTATTATGCCTAATGGCCTTAATCGTTTACAAATAGACATTCAATATGCCCCTGAGAAAGCTCTTGTCATCTCTTGAGTTTATCCAGAGTAAAAATAATGCTGGTTTCATATCATGCAATCTTACCGAGTTTTATATATATTTTTCTCTGTAGAGTTTGTTTGACATGCTTTGATACTTTATGTTCATCTTACCTTTATCTTTGGAGGCAAGAAAGAAAAATGGGTGATACTATCTTCTTTCCAGCTTGAATAGTATACGACCACATAATTGTAGTAGTGCATGTTCTACTTGCTAGTTTCATCTTTTAGGCCAACCTACTAAAGAGTTTCATAATGGTACCGTGCCTTTAAAAGTCTGCATTAGTGTTCAAATAGAAGTATGTTGCTAATGAAACTTGTAGTTACAGATTTGTACCAATTTTGGAGCCTTAACATTTTCTAAAGGCGTTGTGGATAAAGGATGGCATCTACTATTATAGCTCCATGAACTATATGTACACTGACCCGTTGCTAGTCCCTAGTTGCCAGCTTTTGCAGTCTGACTATTTTATTTGGTTTTAGTTTTAGCTCTTCAAATGTAATAGTGGGCCCGCAGGTTGATTCTTCCTGTGGATTTGTTTGGAAAGACATTGATCTCATTGATCCGTATTAAATGAATCCTGCTTTACATGATCAGATGATTTGTGTAAAATTTGACAGCCTATTGAATTGTGCAATTTTTCATAATGGAATTGGTCTTTCTGTAGACTGAACAAAGGAAGAAATTGTTTTGTGGTGCATTTATTCATCTCTGTTTATCAATGAATGTGGAGAGAGATGGTTTTGTAGGTTATTATATCTTGTTTTATGTCGAGCTTATGCTCGTGGATTGGACAGTGTGGCAGATCTTTCAATTTTAGTATGTGGTTTCAGCATATTTTTCTGATGTTTTATTATGTTGTGACTTTGATGATTAGTTTCTTCTTATGAGCATTCTTTTGAGTTTTTGTGTTTACTTTTGAGAATCCAACTCTGTAAATTACATCCACCATGCATTCTAGCCGTTGTTTCGCTTGTTATGCAATACATAATGCACATGTATAGCATCAGTGGCCTTAATCTGTTAGATGTGTTGAAATTATTCTTGTGTTTGTTTGATATCCCAAGTATAATAAGTTAAATTTGTGGCGTGCTCATCACTGATTCTGCAGTTTCATGGAAGGAGTTCCCGAACTAGAAGTTTGATGTGCAGTGGGAGGATTGAAAACTTGGGTCAGGGCATTTCCAAGAAGCGGACAACTTCTATGGGTTTATATAAATCCCATAACGAGAAAGCTCCAGAATTTGAGAGTAGCCATAGTGGTAGGAAAAGGCTTCATAGCATTCCAGATAAGGAGCATAAAAGTTTAGAAGCGGAGGAAGGTCAGATGGTGACAGAAGAGCCATGCGTGGTGCCTTCTATGAACAAAAGGGATCTTTCTGAGGGCGAAGCACTGACTGGCTGCGAGAAGAAGAGGATGCCTCCCAATGAAAATAATTCTGAGCTGGACAGCAATATAGGTGGTTTTGATAACCAAAGGCTTCTTGCGACATTAGCTAAGATGGAGAAACGTAGAGAGCGCTTTAAGGAGCCTATTGCATTGAAAAAAGAAGAGAAGAGTATGAAGCCTGATGATAACTTGGTAGTTGGTACAGATGAAACGAAGCACCTGAGGCCACTTCGGAAGCGGCGCTGGGGTGGTAATTGAATTCCTGCAGCAGTTCAAGGGCTTCTTTGTCCTTCAATTTTGACAGATTGGTAGGCAAAATATAATGAGGTGATCCACGATTTTTTGCTCCGAGTTTTATTTTCTTGGCAAAATGCGATTATAAATGATTTGACATTTTTACCACACTTTGGCAAGGAATAAGGTCTCCACGGCCTAGATATCAGGGAGAATTTGTTGAAAGCTCTGTATTGCTAGGATTGTAAATAAATCTGACATTCCTGATATAATCACGCCCATTTCTAAATGGCAGTCATTGCTTTTTTGCTGAAATGCTATCATTTCTTCGTATTTTGTTATTATTTTTCCCTTTTAGGGAAGTCGTCTTTAAAGACGTGCCCAGTACTTCCAACTGGGGCAGCAACTTACTGCAGATTGGAGTTTTGGTAAACCTCACTGGTTTTGGTCTGATGAACTTGTGGATATATCAAATATCAAGACTTTGATTGTTGTGCCTGTGTCTTGGGACCTCGTTTGGTGCTCAAGAGTGATATTCATCATATCTGGGTCATCTAGAACTAATCTGAACAGCTTAGATTTAGAATTTTCAATTAATGATTTTTAGTTTTTTTTAAAAAATTATTTGAAAAAATAAAAAAAAATTACATCTAGACCATTCATATAAGATGAGTGTCCAAACTTATTCCCATGTTGTCTTCTTGTTAAAGGCTCATATTCGACTGTTAGCTAACATTAGGTGGGGTGGCGGGAGCTGGGAGCAATTCGAACATATTTTAGATTGGTGATACAAATTCTTTTACATCCATTATTTATGTGTAATATTGAAAGAGATATAAAATAATTTTTTCTTCAAAAAAAAGTGATATAGGTTTAATTTATTCATGCTATTTTGCATGATTTTTCAAAATATATAAATGTAAAAGACCTGATTGATTAAGTGGAGGTATTGAAATGTGCTGGTTAAAAAAAAAAAAAAAAAGTTGAGGCATTGAAATGTTGCCTTGTGGTGGGAGCATTGAAGATGGTCATTGGGCCGGTTCATTCTGATACAAAGCCGACAAAAACTCAAAACAAGAAGGGGGGGGGGGGATATACGCCCATCTAACATCCATGCTGCTGGGACCTGGGGTGGAGGCCGGGAACGGACGAAGAAGAGAAAAAGGAAAAGAAGATGCCCCCATGCAGGATCGAACTACAGACCTTCAGTTTACAAGACTGACGCTCTACCACTGAGCTATAGGGGCTAGGGCGTTGCCGTAAGCTTCTGTTTTGATTTAAGATTCTTAATGTACCGTTCATTTCTCTCTCATCCACACCAAAATCAAAGAACGAAAGGGTAACCATCAAACTGTTTAAAATAATATTAAAGAATGATTGAGAAACTTAATTGATTCGATTTGATGAATGATGTGCTCGCGCGTGAAAGCTTGTGTCGTGCTTTAATTTCTAATAGGACTTTATCCGATACACGCATGTAATATGATCACTGTTCATTGACACAGTGGACGCTGGCACGCTGCCTTTATATTATTACTATTACATACTACTTTTTGTTGTATTTATAAAAACTAGTTGACTAATTTGAAAAGATTAAAGAACAAAATTAAGTTAGTTATTTGTAATAAATAGGTATTGTCTTTCCTAAAATATCTTTACTAATCATATTGGTTAGAAGTATTATTGTTAGAAGGACTATTTTAAGAAAAAATACATAAATATGAAAGACAAAGTGGATTGTGATCTTATATTTAGGATCAAAATAAAAGTCAAATAATGTCTTATATTTAATGCCAAAATAAAAATTAAACAAGGTCTTGTATTAAGGACCGGAGGTAATATTTGATATTTCTGTCAATGCGGGAAAATTGCATGAGCCAAATCATCGCTAATAATAACGAAAATGGTACTTACGTTTGGTTGAATTAGCAGAGACGACTTCATACATATATAAATATACACACATTAAATACGCATGTATATTATAAGATCAGCCAAATTATTTTTGACTTAGCCATTATATTTCGGTCAACTTAGCAGTAGTTCTGTGGCTGAATATACCTAAAAATCCCTAGGATCAACAAACACATTCCTCACTTGCCCCTTCATCAACAGTTCATCCTCATCCTCATCACTCTGTCGTGAAAGCCTCTTAATATACCAGAGATCATCAACACAAGACATGGAAGCTGTCTGAGGCACGAGCTTTGCGAGAGGATCACCAAACCCTAGCTCAGTTATAACGACTTTACAGTCCTTCATCTTTTCCCCCAACCTCGACGTGAACCTCCACGCACATTCCATGAGCTCTCCGAGGTTGTCTCCTTCCCCATGGAGCCCATACATGAACAGAAACCCAAACGGCCTCGACAGCGAGTCGCTCACAGGGATTCTCAGACAAGGGAAGATCTTGTCTCTTGCATGGTTCAGAGTCGTGTGAATTAAAACCCTAAATGGCTTATACTTTGACCTAACCTGAAGCTTATAGGCTTCACAGGTGTTCCATATGCTAAATACAATCCAAGAAGTTGGAACATTGTTAGTTTCATTGTCGAGTTCCCAATTACCATCGTCTTTGTAGTACGCTACCCAAGTGCCGAGGCTGAGCTTCTCTTTCAAGATAAGGTCCATGTCTGTGAGATATAGGTCTTTGTGTTTTAAGGTTCTGGTGTACAAGGAGATGGCTTGGGTTATGTTGAGCTTCTGTACTTTGACCTGTCTGCTGGTGGCGCCGGCGCCGGAGACGATGTGCCCGCTGGGAGGGAAAGTAGTGGGGTGGACGAAAATGTGGAGAGAAGTGAGATTGAGGTAGTGGCATTTGAGGGAGAATAGGTTGGTGGAGGCAGTGTTGTTCTTCTCTGTGGCAACGAATGAGTACTCTGCTCCATTTCTTAGCATCCATTCTTCAACTGAGTTCACTAGCTTTTGTCCTACCCCTTTTCTTCTTCACAGAAAAGACGATTCATCATCAGTTAATTACTTCAGAAAAGAGGATGGGGTTCAAACATGACCTAATCTAAAATTATATAAAACCAAACAATATAACATCCCTCCTAAAAAGAACAGAAATGTGTGTGTGATCAAAGAAGGGCGAAAATGAGTGTAGAATATATATACCGATAAGTAGGAGAGACCCGAAGGCCAAGTATAGAACCCATCTTGAAGAGTGACCCTGAATAATGAGACCCTATTGTCTTAATGCATCCTCGAACCACTCCTACAATCTCACCACTTTCTACCACCTCAGCTACCTGCACTACTACTCGTTAATTAATTAACCATATATATATATATATATATATATATATACACACCCTTTTTGCTTATCAGACTATGAACAGTGATCTATTTTATAAACGTGTGAAGAGAGAGAGGAAGAGAAAGAGACGACGCACCAAGATGAGACGAAGAGGGTAGAAGCAAATCCTAGAAAAAGGATGATTAGCAAGCAAGTTGGTAAAGATGGAGAGCCCTTCTTTAGTCCCAATCTCACAGTTCCTCTCAAGCTTCCCCACCACTTTCACATCTCTTTCTTCTTCGAACTCCCTTATCACTACTACTTCTTCCCTCTCTCTATCCACCATCTCTCTCTCTCTCTATCGCCTCTCTCAAATATGCATATGAACCCAAACCTTCCTCTCTGTTATTATCAGTTACCTCTTTCTGTTGCCTCTCGTCATTGTTCCTATATATACACATATATACATGCATTAATAATTTGTACTCAGAACTTTATATTATCATCGCTTTAACGATGATGATGATGAGTTTGCGTATTTTTGGTATTCTATTCATTCACATAAAGATTTACAGCGTATATGGGAATTGATGATGATGATGATGATGCGTGCGTTGAAACTTACGGTGGGGTATCGTCCTCCTAACTTGGCGTTCACAGAATAAAAGGCTGACAACGTTTGGAATAGTCGTTTTCATCAGGACAATATCAAACAAGCCTTGCTTCCAAAATCGGTAGCAATTCTCCTGCGGCTCCTTACCATATGATTCACTCAATCTTTGTCATCAATTTCACTTTTTTACTACTTCCATAGTCTGTCACTTCAAACGCTAGTTGGTACCATCCCTGTTCCTGTTCCCTCATAAAATATACATATATATATAACATATCTCAATCATCTACAACTACGCAAGATTTTTCTTTTACTTCTTTTGTTAAAAATAATTAAGGTCAGTGGTGTTGCTTATCACTGCATGTTTTAATTCATATTATTTTGCACTTGGCGCATTATTCTAGTGGCAAAGATGCCTCTCAATCTTACCTCCATGTTCAGGCCCAAAAAAAAAAAAATCTCACTTCAATGCTGACATATAAGTTGTTAAGTCTCAAACATCAGTTATCAATAGAATGGATACCGATGCTTCTTCTCTGACCAATCAAAGATTTGGAAATGGCATACCTACAAAAGATCAAATTTTTTCTTTGGTGCTATTAGCTAAACCCAAATTCAGTTATATGGTCTAATTCTCTATATATTTCCAAGCTTCGTAAATTTTGATTGGTTACAATTATATATATTCCATTTACTATTATAAAAGTTCTCAATATATTCATTAGCAGAATGTTTCCAATAAAAATTGCTGTAAGTGGCATTGAGTCATTGTTTCCAAAATGGACGTGCATGTTTAGGGTATAAGACTTGTCATTATGCCGTAACTGCTAACTCCTACTTTTACATGATCAAAATTGTGCTGAACTTAGAAAAGTTTTAGATTAAATTGGTCAAACAGTCCAATTAAACTCAATATCTTTTTCTCTTAGCCTACGTATGCAAGATTGGCTTATATTGATCCACCCGGAAACATAGAGGCATCAAACTTTACTCAAATAATGCAACCATTGGTAGAGATATTGTTTTTTCAAGCCCCCCAAGAATCATTAAGGCATCAAAGCTCCGGACTTTGAAGAACATTTACAACGGGAACTATCTCAAGAAGGTTGGATAAATTGAACATATATATTGTTTACATACATGGCTCTAGTTGTTCAGATGGCTCCGTTGATCACAGGTTTCATTAAAAAGCTAGGTTGCATGCCTTGCACCTTTGTGGGATTATGGGAACACGAAGGCTTTAGCTAAAACCATGGTAATTAAAAAGTTTGAATCTTCAGTGATTCTTGTCAATTTGCTAGCTCATGATCTTATGCCTGATAAAGTCTCGCACACCAATTAGTTACTTTGTTGTCTCTAAAAACTAAATTGTTTAGGAGAGTTGATGAAGTTTTATATTCAAGGAATCGTTTTCGTACTTATTTCAATCATGAAGTACGAGCTAGAGATTCCTTCATACATTTGTAGGTGACCTCTATGGCGATCGCTTATTACTCTTATATGGAAAGATCAATTTGATGCAGCGATTAGTTGCATGAATATATCAGTATCTGCATAGTTTATAACATGGGTTTGTTTGAATAGAGGTACAATATTTTAAACAAGTTTTTTAATCATGATTTATGAAATGTAAAATAAGTATGTGAGAACAATTTTACCTTGAATTATGTAAATAGATGCCTTAAATTGTGATCTCAAGCAAGCATTACTATATCAGTAAACGTATTTCGATATACGTACGGTTCTATTATAATATATTATAAATAATTTAAATTACATGTTTTTTATTGTGGCTTTACGCCGTGGAATCCAAATGGATGATAGTCCATCAAGTTATTTTTATTTGTTGAATGGGATAAAATTCCATTATGATCATTTCAAAACTTAATTTTTTCTATATCACAAATAAATTCTCAGAATTTAACACTCTAGCTTACTCTAATAGGAACACATATGGCTAATCTCACGACTATTAATGTTTCATGTTCTCTCTTGTCGCAAGATCCTAGTCATCTATCTCTATGTATGTATGCATGAGGGATTAAGGTTTGAGCCGCTTAACTAGAACTTGTGGAGTTACCTGGTTATTTTCTGCCATGAAATGAAAGAGTAGGACCCAACCATTCTTATCACTAAAAGCTGGACTCCTATGATAGCCACTCTTCAACTTAATTCCTTTTTTTTTTTTTTTGAATTTCTTGAAATAAATGTAAAATTTCCTAATTTCTAAACATGATCTATAGTCTCGGAGGATCTCTGCTCCCAAATGATCCTTACTTGATTGAGGGGGCAACCATGGGGAGAAACCCATGTGAAGAGACTGCTATATTATATATATATATATATGATTGTATTACATTTTATGACATCTTTAAAATAAATTATATTGTTTATGGCTTATCAATATTTTACAAAGGTTATATTACTTCCACTCCCTAATATATCCTTCTCTAGTCCTATTTATAAGGCACTTTCAATATATTTCACACAGATTAAAAAAACCTTGAAATATAATAATATATACACCTTTCAAAAGAGATAACTACTTACACTATAATAAATGAAAGACAAAATAGTACATTCGTGCTGAAAATTTAATAAAGTGACTTATAAATAAGACAAAAAAATATATCTTTCTACCCTATAAACAGGACTAGAGGAGTATATCTATATATAAACTAGATAAAGGCTGATTTTGATTCTAAAGACAAGATTTCAATTTATTTTGTGTCTCATAATTATCATTTTTTTAATAAATTATCCCTATTAGTTGTGTATATTAAAAAAATTTCATTTTTGATACAAATTATTTAAAAGGTTACTTTAAAAAAAAGTTAACACATACTTTTAACAAATAATTAATTCCAACTAGATACGAAGCCAGACACAGTTCATATCAATGTGGGAACATCTAGAAAGTGTGAAATGAATCCACGCGGCGTTGAAGGGAGCAGCCTTGTGAACATATATTATATTGTATTCTCCTCTTCTTTCTTATCAATAATTACCTGCAGAGCAAGTAGGGCAGCCAGCCTGTTCATTTTTAGCTCTAGTCAATTCTGATTATTATTGCCTTGTGCCAGCAGAATTCATCATCACCAGCCAGCCACTACTTTAGACGTCCGCAAAATTCCAACTTATGCAAAGCAGCGTAAAACATGGAGCATGACACTGTCAGAATATTCCCATGTTTTATTTTCAGTCTTATTTTTTTTACATTTATAAGTTATATTGTTAATAAAGGGTGTTTGGATTCACTTTGTAAAAGTGATTTTACAAAATTTAAAATTAATATATGATAATAGCTTTATCTCAATTTACATAAAAATATTTTTTTAAGTACTCTTCCGATGTAATTGTTGAGTTGATTTTAGTCCTAAATATTAGATATATTTTTCATATTTATTAATTTTTTTAAAATTATCTCTATGGATACTCTTTTAACTATAATCAAATAGAAGAGAAAGAGGTGATATTAAGGAAGATAATTATGGTGTTTTAAATATGTTATATTTCTTATAATTAACTAACTTGCTTAACTTTCTTAATCTAATTAAATTAATTAAATAGGACTTTTATTAAGAACCGGTAGAGTATTTTTGAGGGTTGTCAAATAAGGCACCACAATTCATTAGAATCACCAAACTCTCTCTACATTTTTAAACCAACTGCTACTTATGTTTAAATTTGAAGTCTCATTGGTTAGGATAACTCCACGGTCTCAGTATTAACCAATAAGTCATTGGTATCATTCTTATAAAAAGAAAAATACAAGTTTAATTTTTGAGAAGGATGCTTATTGATAGTGTTATGCCTTAAGAGGGCCGAGATTGGTTTTTAAGTTTAAAGTTAAAAACTCCGTATCAACTAGTTAGTTTCCCTTCTATGTTGCTTTTAATAAAATACTAGTTTCGGTTTTAAATATAAGAACTAGTTGAATGATTTAAATAGATTAAAGAAACAAGTTAAATTAGTTATTTATAATAAATAGGTGTTGTCTTTTCTAAAATATTCTTACTAATCAAATATATTGGCTAGAACTACCATTATTAGAAGGACTGTCTTAAAAAATACATAAATATGAGAGACAAAGTGGATTAAAATATTATATTTAGAGTCAAATTAAAATCAAATGAGGTCTTGTATTAAATACATGGTGTATTATATTTCTTTCTCTCAGGTGTCTGCAGATTTGTCTGAGTTTATCTCTTTCCCTACGAATTTGACAATCATGCATTCCAGTGAGCATGTATGTCTTTTATTATGCAGAAAAACTACATGCTTTGCTGAGACTTATTTCTGAAACTATTCCACATGTCTATGAGTAGTCTTTTTCTTGCCCTTGCCTTCAATCACAAAAAAGATCCTGTTGCCAGTGGACGGGGACTGGAAGAATCACCTTTTCAGAACCTTGTTTTTTCTTATACATTATAGTGGGAGCAGTTCATGAATGGTTTCTACTCTTACCTTAATTACCCCCGCTGAAGATATATGAAATGAAACGTCTTACATTAAGAAAACCAAATATAAGAAAATGTGTGAAATGTGTTTATTCATAACTCATAAAATAACGAAGAAGTGTCTGTTAACCCTGAAATAACATATGCTCGAGTAGAAAACTAGGGAATGAAGAAAAGAAAAGAATTTTATTTTTGAAAGGAAGGCTGCCCCAAAATGTCGCAAGAGATGTTTATTTTTGGTCAAACCGAAAAGACCCTTCAACCACTCTTGATACGCTTCTAGTTATCAGCGCTCTCAGGCCACACTTCCCATTCCAACGCTTTTGTTCAAGTCTGGACCTGGCGATGTCGTTTTTGAATCGCATCAAAAGGCATCAACAGGTGTGAACACATAACTAGATGTTAATTTGGGGTGTTTAGATTATTCAAAAGGTATTTTTTTAAAAAAATATTTGTTAGAAATCGAGATAAACTCTTTCACATATTTATTTTATATGTCATAAAAATACTTTTAAAATAATAATTTTGATTCTACCAGACATACTCTGGTATATCTTACAAGTTGTTCGCCCAAATATTTCACTACCCTTTTGTTAACCAGAAACCAGGTGCGCTCTCACTCTCTCACTCAAACCAATCAAGTTGAGTAATATGATTATATAATAACCATTTCATGATTTAAGTTTCACAGAATACGCTAACATGAAAGCTTTCTTGTAAGGTTATGTGTTCGATCTTATTGGTAATTTCAGACTATTAATATCCACTTTCTAAATTAAGATAAAATAGGATGATATCACTCTCCAAAACTGTTGACGTTTTAATTTTGGTAAAATCGTTTAATTAATTTTTATTTATATTTTTATGAGTGAAATTATTTATTTTTTATGCGTACTTGTTTAAATTTGGATTATGAATTTATAATCCTCTTAAGTAAAAGTGGATGATTGTAAAATTTTGGATTATGAATAGAAAATAAAATGGATTTTTTTAAGAGAAAAAAGCCATCCAAGGTGAGCCAATTATTTTGTAGTTGGCCTGAAAAAAATATTCATGGTTTCAACAAATCTATAAGATATATAATTTATCCGGTTATTATTTAAATACACATGACAATATATATACCCCAAAAAAAAAAAGACGAATATATGTATACAGCCTTAGATCTCAACTCCTCTTGCAGGCGAAATAGATGGCAATGGCATATACTACCTCTAGTTCTTAATACTACCTCCGGTCCTTAATATAAGACCCTGTTTGACTTTTATTTTGGTCATAAATATAAGACCCCAATCCACTTTGTCTCTCATATTTACTCAATTTTTTTTAAGATAGTCCTTCTAATAATTATAGTTCTAGTTAATATACTTGATTAGCAAGGATATTTTAGGAAGGACAACACTTATTTAGGACAAATAACTAACTCAACTTACTTATTTAATTTCCTCAAATTAGTCAACTGGCTCTTATAATTAGGATCGGAGGTAGTATAAGATCTTATTTGAATTTTATTTTGGTCCTAAATATAAGAACCTAATCTATTTTGTCTATCATATTTATACATTTTTTTTCCAAGATAGTACTTCTAACAATGATAATTCTAGCCGACACATTTAATTAGCAATGATATTTTAGGAAAGACAACATCTATTTATTATAAATAACTAATTTAATCTTTTTTTAATCTCTTCAAATTAGTAACTAGCTCTTATAATTAGGATCAGAGGTAGTATATAATTGGTCGCAATCTCTCCAAATGATGGGGGACACATGGCAACGTTACATACCTCGGATAAATCTTCCGGCGGTGCTTCGCTCTATTTCATCATGGTAATATGGGCTAGGCCCTTCGGGCCCTGTTATAGCCCATAACACCAGCGAATTGTTTTTTTTTTTTAATGTGAAAATCGCGCCAAAGCTATTCCGAAAAAACGAAAAGGAAAATCGCGCCAAAGCGGCTCTTTGGTCCCTCTTCTGGAGCGAAAGACCGCCATTCTCAGGTAGTGAGGCGAGTAAGAGGGAACAACGGCGCATTCCTGAGCCTCGTCACGGCATGGAGAAGGATTCTGCCATGGACATCGATCTTCAACCGGAAGAAGAAGGCAAAGAGAAGGAGGAGGAGGAAGATTATTTCCTGAGATTTTATCGACTATGCGAGGTCCGAGCTTCTGGAAGTCGAAGGAGATCCCGATCCAAATGGTGATGGTGCGGTTGTTGATCTACCTGGCTGGAGCTGGATCGTGTCTCGCATTCTCAAGACTTGCATTGCTTATTCCAGCGGCGTCACACCTGCGATACTGCTCTCCGAACTCTCTCTGGTACCACATCTCAACCTATTGGTTTTTCCTTGTTGGGCGAAGGAACGAAAACATCATAGTATTCTGAATCAATTCACCAGTGCGCTGTTTTTAATGTTCTCGTTCTCTGCTATATGGCTGCTTTCTGATGATTGGTTTTATCCTGTAGGCTTGGAGTGAGCAACGCAGAATCGGGGCTTCGACGAAGAGGCTAGAATTTATCGAGCACTTAAAGAAGAATAACCGGAGAACGAAATTGCCAAACACTGTCACCATTGATTCGATATATGAGAAAAATTTCTTGTCCTTAAACAGTGTTCTGGAAGCGGTTATTGTTGATGCATTTGTTCTTCCAGGTACTCTGGAATGACGCATTTTCCTGGTTATTGGAGCTGCCTTCACCGATGATCCCTTTTGGATTGCCCATAAAAGGAGTAGTCATTGGGATACGCAACTAGGGTGCCAAAAAATACAACAAAAAAGTGGATATTTATTTCTTACATAATTATCTGAAATAAAATTTAAATTAAACAAGCAAACGAGCGACAAACACTCAGTGTTCCACTGGCACCCTGTCTCGGAATCATGCAAGCAGTTTCGGATTCAAACCTTAATTGCTACTTTTGGCGCAAATTTTCATTTGAGAAAATGAGTTAAGATTTAGGGGAAGGAACATAGACCAAGAAAATCGACAATCAAAGGCCTGCCCTAAAATTATGTGCATTCGCCACTCATCTGCTTTGATTTCCCACTTAATTACATCCTCTGCATACAGATTGTTTGATTTTATTTTCCAAATTATACCTATAAATTGAGGTGGGGGTCACAAAAAATTGTCACCTGCAATTTTTTGTTTGCGGTCAACTTACTTATCAATGTTAACTACCTTTCTTCAGGCACAAACATCCAAATGCTAACGTTAGGAGACTATTCAAGTTCCAATCTCGTCGATCTCTATCTCCACCGCAGGTAATTGTAGGAGTTATTGGACCTA